TATATATATATATATATATATAAATTTTATAAATGTAGGTACATTTAATCATTTAAATACTATGAAAGTATGATACGTTTATAGAATAACATTAAATAAAAAACACAAAATATATTACTCATGTTGTAATGATCACCACAAAATAAAATCATTTTACATTTATCACTTTTAATTAGGTACTTATTAAATAGTAGATACTAGGTAATATACAAATATTTAATAATGCATAATATTATATAACTAACATAATTTTATTTTATTTTATTTGAAATACTTTTGATCATAAAAAATTTTCTTAGAAACAATACAAACTCAATTTCACAAGACAGTCTTACGAACATTGCAATTAATAAAAACGTTGAATTACTTAAGAAAATTTTTTTTTCTTGACTTTAAATTTGCGAAGTCGTTTATAATTTTGTTAATTTAAAGTTCTGAGGTTTTTTCTCTTTCAATATTGAGAATTGCAATGTTCGTAACTCTGTCTTGTGAAATTGAGTTTCTAAGATAATTTTTTATGAGCTTAAGCTTAGAAAAAGAACGTTCAGCAGAAGCGACTGTAACTGGAATAGTCAGAAAAATTAAACACAGCGTAAAAACGTCATGAAAAGACGATGCCAAGTCATGTTCGATTAAATAAACTGTTAAGTCTTTAATATCATGCAACACAGATGTTGAGATTTTAACACAAAGAAAATTTCTCAAACACAAAAGTTGATTTGTAACATCTGAACTTAACTCATTCTTATACTTTATGTGTAAATCGTATGACGCTTTAATTATAATTTGTTCCTCTATTGTAGTAAGATTTATTGGTTTTAAAAAAGAAAATTCATCACTTATTGTTTTAAGACCTTTAAACCTTTCTTTAAGCTCAAACAATGCCGTGTCCAGTGCGGGATAAAATACCTACTATAACTTTAAAATTGTCTTCAGTTATAGAAAGTCTTCGGTCACAATCAACTTCTTCGTGATACCTAACAGCAAATCTTTCACGTTTACGATTGAAGTTGAAAGGTATTTTCCATGAAACACAAAGATTTTTTGCATCTTCTACTATATTTTAGCCATTGAGTTATTAAGCCATTAGTTCCAGATACCTATGAGATAGGTACGTTGTAGATAATATTTTTTCCCCAAATCGGGCCTCCAATAATATATTATTATTTATTAGCGTATAAACCATATACCTACCTACATATAGTACCAATATAAGGTCCGTATTTCCTAGTATTTTTTTCAGGTATCAAAATAATATACTGTGCGAGTTAGTGACTTTTTATGCCACCAAAACCACCCATGAGGAAAGGGGAACACTTTCCTCATGACCTGTGAGCCGCCCCGCGTGAGACCAGGGGGTCAAGTCGGTGGAACTCACAGGCTTTGATACACGCAACGGCAAGCTGAATGCCGAGGATTTATGTTGGGAGAGAGAGAAGAGAAAAAAAAATAAGTTAATGAAAATAAATAATAAGAGCAGTATTAGGGTAATCACGTGGATGTATTTTACAGGTTTTTTGATTGTAGATAATTTAAGTAAGATTTTGACATTTTTCAATTTAACAAAAATAAAATATAGCATGGCACATGGCAAGTAGGTACAAAATATAAAAGGGCACATGGGAAACAAAAACGCTCGGCCCACGGGGATCGACACATCACATTACTCGTGGTGGTCTCCACAGGGTTACCGGGGCAGTTTAAATGATTTTGGGGGGGAAGCGAAGGGTTGGAACGTCTGTAAGTGTGGTCCGGGGCCCCCTACTTAAACGCGCACAGGGACAGCTGGTTTTTGACGCCAGCCGTATGTGAACGCGTAGGAGGTTACCCGCTAGGCCCCAATGGCAACCACACTTGGACGTTCTGCAACGCACATTTTACAAGTATAGTGCCTTTAAGTGACAAGACAACAAAAAAAAAGGAAAACCGGGGAATTGATACGTTACGACGTGGATAGCTCTTGTGGTACTCCGCAGATATGGGTGGGCTGGCTGGACGCCACCGACGCACACGTGGTCGGCATGGCCCACCTGGTCGTTGGAGAACAATTTTTACGTAGTTGAGCCGAGGTAATGCTGTCTCAGGTGTTGAGGCCCCCACAGCCTGTTGGTGACACGTTAGCCCATCATCGTATGGTTGCATACCAAGGTACAAGAAATGACGTTGAAATTGTCACGTTCGAATGGTTTTTTGACGGAGCGCAAGATACAATTTTGCTGGGACGTGAAGTCGTGAAAACAAAAACGTAGTCGTGTTGCTTCAGAGGTCGGTGAAAAGGCGAGTGAGCACGGGTGAGACGCAGTGTTCCGTGGGCCGCAACGGTCGATGTTGTTTGAAAATCCAGCGAAGTGTGGCAGAGCAGTGTAGGTTGTTGGGGGGGAATATACAATAATTTGAGGGAATATCAGTCCAGACTGCCCTGCAGGCGCACACCGGCAGACACGACAGACGCGCCTGGCGGCACCGACCGACGGCCAGCAACGGCCGTTGGCGACGGGACACTGCAGATGGTGGGGATTGGGGGGATTTGTGTTTATATAATATTGGTCGATTCACTGTACAAGCCGCGCGCGGGTTAATTGATATTTTATGAAAAAGAAATATAAATGGTTTATGACATGGGGACAATATTAATATGGTGTCTAAATTCTGTGACGAATTAATAAAAATTATATATCTTCATCTGAAGATATACAATTTTTTGAAATGTTTAATGATTTCAAATCAGGTAAATCATTTTTTTTTTGGTTGTTAATGTATTCAACCCAACAATCTGGTAGTTTTGTGTGCTTGTCCGCTCCCGTCTTTCTATCAAATATGCAACACCTTATCTGAAAAGTTTTTATGTATTTATTAAAAAATTATATTTAATTTTTCGAAATTATTAGATAATGAGTGACTCAGACATTAGTAAGTTGTCTAATGATCATCAATACAAGAATAAATTACCTGTCCTTGACTACACCAATACTTTTGGCGTTTAAGGGCCATATCCACTTCAACTTTGTCCTTTATAGTTTTTCATTTCAATTCTTTACTCATTTTTAGTAAATCAGAATGTTTGGGACACCACAAGAATCACACTAGTAAAATTATGCAATAGTACAAATAAATATTTATCATCAACATTTGCAAATAGGTTCATGCATAAATGCATAATATATGATATGTATAGCTTATACATATCATATATCATAGCTATATTACGCCTACGTTATATTATTGACAGATAAAAATATATTATAAATACACATACTTTTCCTAAATCTTCCACATGTAAAGTACTAGCTATATCATCTGAAGTTTGGACCCCATGGCGTTTCTTGCTGTTATTTTTCATACATTCAAAGGCCAGTAACTTTGCCTTATTTGATAAAGAAATTTCTTCCTTTATATATAAAAACATAGTATGATTAATTACTTAGTTAAGTATATCATTTGTTTTTATTACTTACCAATTGTGATTTCAAATCAATGATTTCATTTGAAAAAAAATCTGTTTTCTTCTTCAACATTTTCATATGCGTTTTTCATTTTATTCATGGCCGTTTTCAAATTTTGCTAAATGATTAATATACATATTATATTTTATTAATAATTAAAATACCATGATCTTTAAATTAAATATTATGTTCCTACTACCCAGTCATGATCAAGATATGTATGACTATAGTCTATAATATGTACCAGCCTAACATTGTATGCATGATATAACTAAGTTAGTTATATCATGATTGTACCTATGTAAATAACCATAAACAAGATGATTCATTTTGATAAGTTACCATTTCAAACTTCATGTCTTCTATCTCTTTTGCTTTTTCTTCTAAATGGCTCATCTCGTCATTTAATTCCAAATTTTTGAGCTCCAATTTCTTTTTAGTCATGTGCAGTTCCTAAAATAGTATAAAATTGCAGCTCTTTAAGTAAGAGAAGGCAAGACAAATATTTTTCTTATATACAGGGTGATTCTTTTATCACTGAACACTCATTATTTCAAAAAGTGTAAATGTTTTTGAAAATATATTCTTACATAGTTTCAAGTCGTTTACAAAACAATGTTTTTATTAAAAAATTATATTTTTAATTATTTTTTATCCTTATAATTTTTTAAGTTTTTTACTTTTTGAATGACAACATGTAGTTTTAATTTGATATTCCAAAACAGAATATTTTTCTAAGTATTTCAGTACATTAAAATTTAATTTAGGGCAAGTAGTTTATAAGTTATAACTTATAAGTATTTGAAGTTTAGATGAGTGGAGTAGTGGTACGGGGTTACCCCTCGAAATGTTTGTACACTACTCCGCTGAACTTTTTATACTTATAACTCATAAACTATTGAGTGTTCAATGGTAAAAGAATCACCTTATATTCATATTCTGATATTCAGACAGTTATATTTTTTTAGTATTTTGTATCATTATAATTTGTTGGATATTTAAAATAAAATAATTACCTGTTCATTTTCCTCATTGCATCTTAATAGATCTTTAGATAGTGTTTTATAGTACAAGTAACGTACCAACACATACTTGTGATCCACTAACTTGCTTCCAGTTAAAGTAACCGACATTTTCAAAAATATTTAAACTGATGGACGATGGTAAAAGAAAACAATAATCCCCATGTACAGTCAAGTTTAAAATGAAACTCTGATGTCTGTGTTACAATGATTAGTAAGGTATTTTTTTTTTCACTATAGTGAAAAAAAAATAGATATCAAAATTTCCAATTTTATTTACAAAAATAAACTTTTAATAAATAATAATCTTTGATAATCAATGTCACTATTGTCACTGTAGCAAAGGTTTATCCCGAACTAGGTGTCATGTTTTTACCTACCTACCTAGTATCTAAATATGTATTTATCTGTTAAATGATATATGACTTATTTTAATAAAACTAATTTGTCTATTGTTGTATTTCTTGTCAACTTTATTTCATTTCTAATTTCTATTTTCACTTATAACTTGTAACTTATAACTTTGTATACTAATATGTACACTAAAGTCGAAAAAACTAACATGTTGAACTGTTTTATTGAATCTGGGAAAAACTCCAGAACTGCAGCAAGGTAAACTAATATATTTATTATATAAACTTAAACATTAAACATATTAGACATGTATGTATACTTTTGTTTTATTAACTTGATTTATTAAGATATTTAATTATACATTATAATGTATGTGTTTATAACAAAATATGGTACCTAATTTACAATATTTGATTATACTACACAATTTAAAAGTAAAAAAAAAATCAGCCAAGTTAAAATCAAAATATAAATATTACAACACAAATAGCTAATTAAATTTACAAGTGAACAACTTAAAAACAACTTAATTGTAGCCATACATATATTTTTGTGAACATATACTTCTTATAAAATGTAATGATAAAATATGTATAATATGCATATAATATAGGTTGTATCAACAACGTTATCCTGATAGCCAGTGTCCCGGTCATACAATGTTTTACCGGATAAACAAACAATTAAGTGTGAACGGTATGTTTACTAAAACAAAAACAACTCGAAACACAAACATAAACAATAATAATTCACTGGAAGTCTTGTGTAAATTTATTGAGAACCCGCATATATCCTTGCGAGATGTATCAAGTAAACCTAAAAAATATATTTATTTTAATAAGCATCTTTTTTACTAATACATTTCAGAAGATTTAAATTTATCATACTATTTTGTACAAAAAACGGCTAAAAAGTATAAGTATCATGCTTACTTACCAACTCGGGTACAGCAACTACTACCAACGGATTATGAACGGCCGCGGCGTATTACTTTTGTTGCTCATATGATGGTTCGATTGGAAGATCAACCCAATTTCTTGGAGAAAATTATGTGGACTAATGAGGCGAGGTGCCATAATAATGGAACCGTAAACCACCACAATAATCATTATTGGAGTGATAAGAAATCCCCATTGGTTAAATGAATCTAATAGACAAGTTAGATGGGGTGTAAATGTATGGTGTGGTATAATGAACGATAGTTTGGTAGGTCCATATTTTTTTGAAAATAATTTAAATGGAACCGTTTACCTAAATTTTTTAAAAAATGAACTGCCATTGTTGATTGAAGATATTTCATTAGATCAGCGCTTAAATATAATTTTGGCAACATGATGGTGCTCCAGCTCACAATACATTAGCTGTACGTACTTTTTTAAATGATATTTTTGGTGATAAATGGATAGGAACACAAAGCTCAACCATTCTTTGGCCACCACGTTCTCCGGATATGACTTTCCTTGATTTTTATTTTTGGGGGTACCTAAAAAATGAAGTTTATAAAGAGGAGCCAAAAAACATAAACTATCTAAAAACCAGGATAACTGAAATATGTAAGAAAATACCTGCATCAATTTTATGAAAAGCTACAACTAGTGAAGTTATAAAATGGTTAGCACTTTGTTTAGATGTGGACGGTCATCATTTTTTTTTTTTTTTTTTATTTATGAAACGGGACAAGCCCAATACACATGTTGAAATTAATCTTAAAACTAAAGTATGTACAGTAAAAATATAAGAAATTAAAATTAACAGGGTAATAACATTACCTTAGGACTGGTTTAGTCCCCCAATAGAAACGCAGGATCCTCGTTCGCTAGTCGCATCATGGGTGACATAGGACAGTTTCGCAAATAATTCACAGAACAAAAGGGAATATGGAATGGGAAAACACTACGAGAATTAAAAACTGGGATTCTAAAATTAAGTTTGTTTAAAAGAACAGGTGAGCCAATTTGACCATTAATTAGTTTTGCCAAAAATGATAGGTTTGTTTGAACTCTCCTATCAGCCAGCGTGGTCAAGCCTAGGTGGCAAAGTACTGGATTATAGTCATGAGGCGGACAATCAATTGATAACCTGTAAGATGCACACTTCAGAAACTTGCGTTGAATTCGTTCTAGTTGGTAGCTGTCGCTCATAGTTGCTGGGCACCAAATTACAGCACCATACTCTAGTATAGAATGAACAAATGAGCAAAAAAGTACTTTCAAGGAACTAGACAGCTTGAAGTCCATAGAAATTCTGAGGATGTACTCAAGCATTTTCATGGCTTTACAAGAAATTATGTTTAAGTGAGCATTAAACTTAAGACATCGATCAAATGTTATACCCAAATCTTTTATAGACTCACCAGCAGATTCAAGTAGTACACCAGATATAGAATAGTTAAAACTAATAGGGCAACTAAGAGAGCGATAAAAAGCCATAAAAGAGCATTTAGGGATACAGAGATCCAACCCATGGGTTGCAGCCCAGGTGACCAAGGAGTTGAGGTCATCTTGAAGAAGGATGCAATCCTGAGGGGTACTGATACGATGGAACAACTTTATATCATCGGCAAACATGAGTAATTGGCAGTGTTTTAGGACACTTTTAACACTGTTGACCAATAAAGAGAAGAGGACCGGAGACAAGTATTCTCCTTGAGGGACACCTGGCGTTATATTTACTGGTTCAGAGCAAACACCGTTAATTTTTACATATTGTATTCTATTGGAAAGATACGATTTTGAACATATAATAAAATATCATACCTAGTTAATTAAAATGTATTATTTTGTTGTTATTTTAGTAGGTATTTATGTACTCTTCTTCTTTTAAGGTCCATTGCCGCAACAACAACTTCTCTCCACTTTTTTCCGTCATAATGAAAATTATGAAAGACTTGAGGTTTGTGAAATATGTGTAATTATTAATTTTAAAGTAACTTAAAATTTTAATATTTGTTTTTATGTCTATACACAGAAATTATGAAGTTGGTTTGAAAAATTAACACCCTCTAAAGCACTTTTTACTTTTAAATCACAATTGAGAGTTGAGAAAGGTAATAATTATTATGTATCTGCTGGTGATAGAGGAGAATTACCTGACCCACAATGGGTTTACTATTTGTATTACAAAATGTTTAAAAAACATTTTGGAGTAGCTCATGGCAATGACATGATGGTATTCCTCAATGAAGCCATTGAAGAGTATAATATAGAATGTAAATCAAAAGTAGCTGCAATGAAAATACTTGATGATGGAAATTTTGCCAATATTGATTAACGCCCTTAATGAAAAGAATCAGTATAGGCTTCGACGAATGTGGAGAGATACTGTTTATTGATGCATCAGCCAATGTAGATAGATATGGTTGCAAAGTTTTTATGATATACACAAACAGTTGTGATGGTGGTCTTCCTGTGGGAACAATTATTTTAACAAGTGAATCAACTTCTGTAATTTCAGTTGGTTTAGAACTATGGAAAACATTATTCCCATTAGATGCTTTAGGAGGAAGAGGTTTAGTAGGTCCCAAGATTTTTATGTCAGATGACTCAACAGCTGAGAGGAATGCATTACATGAAGCATTCCCTCTGTCAGAACTTCTGCTTTGTATTTTCCACATATTACAGGCCGCATGGAGATATTTGTGGGATTATAGCCATGGTGTGCCCTTAGATCATCGTCAAACCCTTTACCTGGAAATAAAGAATATGGTATACTCAAAAGACAAAGACGAATTAGAAACTACATACAATAACGCACTTGAAAAACCATTAGTAAAATAATTCCCAAAGTTTGTTAAATACCTTCAAAATTTGTATCAAAGAAAACAAGAGTGGGCACTTTGCTTTCGAAAACATTTAATTACACGGGGACAAAATACTAACAACATCAGTGAAGCTGGGATAAAGATAATAAAATATGTTATACTTGATAGGACAAAAGCCTATTCTCCAGTCCAGTTATTTTTTTTTATTGTTAACGACTTGGATGCTTTTTATGAAATAAAACTTGCAGCTAATAGACCCCCACAATACCTTAAAAATAAAATTAACATTAGTAAAACGTTAAAAACTAATTTATCATATAAAATAAGTGATACACATTGCTCACTTTTTGAGGTGAATAATAAGGTACGCAATACTAAATATACTGTGGATCTAAACCATGGAATATGTTCTTGTCCCCAAGGAAATACAGGTTTTCCATGCAAACACCAAGTTTTTATTGCTAATGATTTAAATATTAATCTCAATATTTGTTTACCTACAACTGAAGATACAAGGGAAAAATTCACATTATAGCTACAGGTTCTTCAGACATTGAATCTGGATGGTATGGTCCATCAAAAATTGAAAATCCTAATACAAATAAACAAGATTTAATCCAAACAAATAAAATAAATAAAGCAAAAATGTACAGTAATTATCAATTAAGTTACCAAGACACAGACACAAGTAAAAGTAGTGATGTGAGTCTCGTAAATTTACCATGTAAAATTTTACCGGTAAAGTAAATTTACCGTAAATTTACAAAAAACAATTTACAATTTACATTTTTTTTACCACTCAAACAGTTGAGTGACCACTTTATTTGTACGTCTTTGTATTTTTTATCAAGATATTAGGATTATAATACAAATTACTAATTAGGATTTTTATAAAATGATAACGACAGTTACGTGATACGAATTATTGTGTAATGGTGTACGCGGTTACTGGTACTGTTTTTTAAGTAATAAAACACTATGATTAAGTGAAAAACGTTCTATCGTCACCAACATGTGTATGGGAATGGAGTATAGTCTTCCTAAGTTCTAACCTAAGTTCTAATTTGGCTCAATGGCGCGAACGGTAAAACCGTTCTAGTTTGGCGCGATGGCGTAAAACCGCCCGGACCTGACGGCGAAAATACCGCAGTGTGGCGAGGCCCTTATTAATACATAGGTGATAGGTATAGTTAACTTACACATGCTGTTTTCATTATACTATAAGTTGTTTTTTATTTTTTTTTGAAACAGATTAAAATTATTTTTATTTTATATTTTACTATGATAAATTAATAATTATTAATAGTTATTATTAATAAATGGATTAAATACTAATACTTTATTTTATATTTATCTTGCCTTCTTTACATTATATTGTGAACAAATTCAACAGGTACGCTATAATTTGAATTTTAAAAAAAATTTACCAATTTTACCGTAAATTTGGTAAATTTACCAGTAAATTTACACGGTAAATTACCAAAAAATTTTTTTACGTAAAATCCACATCACTAAGTAAAAGTATACAATTAATTGAAGAAAATCAACCTAACGAACTTCTAGAAACACCTCCTGCTGAAGATTTTGAAAATGCTTTGACAAATTTTAATGAAGTTGTTGAGAAAATGAAACGAGCTTTTGAATCAGACAAAACATATTTTTTACCATCAATGAAATCGTTTGTTAATTCTTTTCAAACAAATGTCCGTACGCATGCAAGCCTAAATTCTGCTATGCAAACTTTTGGGAAATATTCTGGATTAAATCCACATTCAAAGAAACCCAAATTAATGGGCACTAAGCAAATAGAAGTTCAACCTACAACTAGAGCTAGACGCAAAACGGAATTAGGTGGTAAAGGAATTTGACAGCAGGAAGAACTCCGAAATGGAGACGAGTACCAGAGCACGGTTACACAAATAAAATAAGTTCAAGTACACTACCTCAAAAGAAACATAAAACTCCACATTCTTTTGCACGCTGCATAGAAATAAATATAGCATTAGGCACAACACATAGCTCGAAGTAATAATAATAAAACAGCTAGTCAACATTTGTAATATTGTTCTGATTAGGTACCTAGGTTTTTAAGTTTATTTATTTAATTAATAGTTCGACATCTGAATATTATGTAAGAGATACTTAAGTAAAGTAAAGAGTAGGTACTTAATTGTTAACACACTTACACACTTAATACACATATTTTTATTTTTATTTTATTGAGTATTAATGGAGTAGGTACTTATTAATATTTTTACAGTATTTATAATATAGAATTTACTGTAATCTGTAAGTTAAAGGCAACAAAATAAATGTTTTAACATAGAAAAAAAATTAATAATACAATAAGTAGTAATCATAGATAAGTATAACATAATAATATTATTAATTAAGGACCGAAATGAAGTAGGATATTTTAAACTAAGTTTAATAGGCCGGTATTCTCTAACTGATATCGGCTGATGTTCTGTTGATAATTGATCAGTACACATTATTTTTAAACATTTTTTACAATCTTTTAAGACATTACGATTTAATTTTTTTATTATGAAGCCTGATATATATATATATGTGTTAATTGCCTTAAATATTCGGTATTATCACTGAGAATTGGTAGAGAAGGTCTGGGTAAATCAGTAGTTAAAGTTTGTTGAGAACAAAATAAATGTTTATAATTTGTCAAAGTACCCTCAGTAAGATCTTCCTCACAGTTAGCTCCAGGTGAATGAGATGATACCAAATTGTTGAGCATTAACGTTTCATAGGATTGAATGAATGATGCACAAGTGGAATTAGTACAACCAAGACTTCCGACTGCTCCAAAAAAATTTTCCAGCGGATCTTGATTCAATTTGCTGGGCAACAATGACTTCAATCCTTTTGCATTTAGCACTTCTGATAGATATTGGAAACCTTTAAAAAATTATTATGAGTAGGTTGCTGACTAACTGTACAATATTAATTACCTCTAATAGTGGGCATCCAGTTTCTTAATGTTGGAACACTAACAGTTTTCATATTTTTTCCCACAAACTTCATTGTCGATAGAATTGCTAGACTTATTTCCCATAGTTGATGGTGAACAGAATTTGTCTTAACTGCAGTTCAATACATTTTTCCGTCAACTACTTTATCAAAACCGTTCGTTGAATCAAACAACTTATCAACAAATAATAGAAGTGTTGCAGTATCAACAGCATCAGAATCAATAATATTTTAAGCTATAAATAAAAATACCATAAATGTACACAATAGTTATTATTTAATAATAATAATAATAATATTTATTTTGCAAAAAACAACAAGTGACACATTATATAAGTACGTAAAATAATTATTTGCAGCACCCCCTAAAATTTAATTGTAATAAATATTACTCACTAGCAAGAAAATTCATAACTGCTGACACATGATGACTGAATATCTGTGTGGCACATTTCACCTTCATTTTAGATATTTTTTCAGGAATAACATGTTTATCTGACAAACGAGGAAGCATTTTTGAATAAGGAATAGCACTGTCCGCAATTGTACAACCGTACAATGTGCTCCCACTTGGCTGTTCTTTGTACACCATCAATTGTAAACTTAAGGTCTTTAGTTTTTTAGACAAACAATAAAAACCTCGAAAATTTGAAATTTAGTTTCAAGGGACGATAGTTATAAGCGCATGGGCAGTATAATATAATAATAATATAATCTTTTATCATATTATCAAATATCAATTATCATAAAATATTCATAATCCTACATTCCTACACATGCGCAACGCGTATACACGATTGCCGACACATGACTTGAATTAAATCACACGCCAAGTCCACACGCATGCGCAGTTCAATGGTTAAATGATCAGGCGTAGCATGTTTTCAAATCTCGCGTCCCGCCTTGCCACTTTGGCGTGGTGGGAGAGTTGGCGATGTCGCGCTTGTAGCCCGTGGTGGCGGTTGTCAAAAGTGCAGACCGGTCGCTGCGGTACCTGTACTTTGTACATTGTACTGGTTGCCGCTGAGTACCGTGTCAGTATATTGATGTAGGCACCTACGGGGGGGCTGCTACGTTTCATTTATGAACCACAATAATTTTGTTTTTCAAGAATATACAGTAGTTGCCACTCATTGGACTCTCTTTAGGACCCGACAATTTGAGTCGATTAACCGAATGAGTCAATAATGACTTAAACAAATTTTAAAAACTAAAAAACTTAAAAATATGAATTGAGATTCAAGGTTTGTATAAAAATAAAAATCAAGCTATATGCAATTAAAAATAAAATATTATAATTAAAATACACTAATTTTTTGATAAAAATCCATCTAATGTTGATTGGATTTTCCCTTCTTCGGCCAACTTCATAATCATATCTTCATAAGATTTATGTTTCTAGAATACGTCAAAATCGCCTCTTTGCTGAATTCCTCTACGTACAATTTGAAGCGCTTCTAGCATTTGTTTAGTTGATGGTGGTTTCTCATCAGGTTCCTCTTCGTTGCTATCACCAGTTACATTCTCTTTAAGTCATTTTGACTGTATTTCACCACATATTTCTTCCTCGGTAACGTGTTCGGTATTTTGGACTTCTTCGTCAATATTTATCCATTCTTTACAAAGTTCAGTTGATAGGTCAATGGGTTTTTCGACAGGAGCTTCAACTTCTTTTGAACTGAGAATGAAACCACCGTGTCGGAAACAATTACGTATTGTGATTTTACTGACGATATTCCACGCTTTGTAGGCTAAATGCAAACCTTCAAGTATAGTTATATTTTTGGCGTTTTCATGAGCAACGTAAGGTACATAATTCTTGTCCCAGGTTAGCATCAATCACATTGATCACATTCTTTCTCATGCCTGTTCCGTAATAAGCTTTAAAAGTGCGTATAATCCCTTGATCACACGGTTGTATGATTGATGTAGTGTTAGAGGGTAAAAATACGAGGTTAATATGTTCGAATTTCACTGTAACCACATGAGCCGTGCAGTTATCGACTAGCAATAAAACGTCATGACGAAGTTCATTGTCCCACTTGGTCAGCCATTCGGTGAAAATTTCTTTTGTCATTCGTGCATTACTGTTTGCAGTATAGTCTACCGGTAGATTCGTAACATCCTTGAAACACCGGGGATTTTTACTCTTACCAACCGCAAGTAGTTTTCTTTTTTCACCATCCATACTTGAACAACATAATATGGTTAGACGTTCTTTACTAGTTTTAGTTCCTCTAGTTTTTTCATTTTTAAACGCGTAAGTGTGCTCAGGTAATGCCCTGAATTAAAATCCAGTTTCATCCTCATTGAACACACAAGGCGGAGGATATTTGTTGATAAGTGATGGCCATTCTGAATTAATCCACGACCGTGCAGCTACTTGGTTTGCTTCTCCCTGTTCTCCATGTGGCTTAACGAATGAAATGTTTTCGAGTTACTTCCATCGGTGAAACCAACCTTCTGTTGATACAAAATCATCTGTACCCATTTTTTTCGCGAGTTATTCGGCTTTTTGGCTCAACAGTGGTCCTATAACTCGGTTTGAGACACGTTTAACTTACATGCTGCTTGTCGCTGGCTCATTTTCTGAAGCTTGTCATGTTTTTTAAGAACATCTAATTTTTCTTCCACACTCAAATCACGTCGTTTGTTCATTGTAATACGACGACGTCTATTAATACACTACCTGTCGTAGGTACTAATTGACATGGACGACTGCTTGGTTTATCGTGAAAAAGTAATTTATTTTATCTCCGCGATAAAAGGTACCGACTTATTTATAACACGTTTGTTCTATGTATGTACATATATTCTTTATTTATCTAATTTTCAAATGACCCTATTAACCGGTGTGTGAGTCGAATAGCCGAATTTTTTACTGTGTGTTAAGCATTAAGGTAGTTTAAGTTAAGTAGGTTCAATATAGATAAAGTATGATACTGAATGATATATAAAAAAAAACATTTAGCAAACAAAAATGCTTTAAAATTAATTATAATAATTAATTCCTTTCTTTCATATTTTATCAATATTCATATAGTTAATTAATATTTTGGGATTTTATGTGGAAATATTTTATCAAGGACCACTGCTACTGCTAGATGGTACATTTGTTGGCATACTTTTTTCGAACATTGATTTTATTCAAATAATTGAGTGTGAAATACAAAATGTAAGTTACTCTGAATAAGATAATTTCTTGATAACAATAATAAACTATAATATTTTTTTTTTTTAGGTGAGAATAGGCGGTTGTGATGGAACTTTTAAAACAGTTTCAAAAACTTTAGATGGGGATTGCTATCAGTGGTTAATATTTCAAATTATTTACAAAACTATTATAAGTATTTATAATTAACTGTATATATTACTATATTCTATTCGCCGAGATTTGACCCACTTGCGCACAGCATACTAATGCCGGGTTGCATAAACGATCGATAAGTAGTTATCGATTCGATAAAACAGAAATCGGTGCGATAAAAATATTGTCTGTTGGACTTTTATCTTTTAACGATCCGATAAATTGCAGGCCCGATTTTTGTTCGATAAATAATAAAAAGAACTATATAACTTTATTGAACTGATAACAGTGTGTTATCATAAAGTCATATCACGGTTTCTTAGTCATATTTTGCTCATTGTCGGCTATTGAGTTTTGACTATTTTATTAATCATCCTGTTGTTAAACGATTTTTTTAAATTATTCATTTGTTGTTTTAAAACTATCTAACATGAATTTAAATATATCATCATCATAATGTTCCTCATCATCTGATAATGAACAGGTTTTTGAAATGGTTGTTAATCTTCCAAGACCACGCACATTCCGTAATCGTTTCAATCCTCTTGACAATTACGATGATTTGGACTTAAAAACAAGATTTAGGTAAGGCACTAGTGTGTAAATACCAATAATTATGCATAAACACATATAAGTCTGGCATAAGTTATAATAATAATTATTATTATAGTTTAATATTTCACAATATAGGTGAATAGTTTAGGTGACCCTTAACGCACCAACTATGTTTTCGGGTTCTAATGATTATACTTAAAAAAAAAAAAGGTTTTGTTTGAGAATAAATATTTTTATGATTAAAGTATATAATAATAACAATAAAATAAAAATCCGACTTATTAAAAAAAATAAAATAAATAATAATAACAGTCAAATATCTTTTGATTCAAATTAAAATAAAATCACAATTCCTTTTGTTTTGTAAATAAATAATAAATAAATAATAAAAATTCCTATAATTCTTTTAATTTTTTTTTTCAGTTCATATTCTAAAATCTCTTCTTTAAGCTTGTTTTGCTTTGCTTGGGATGTATAGTTGTCTCTTTCTGCCTTCAGTTTTTCAATAGCCACAATCTTTTCTATTTCTAAAATGTCTAGCTTTATATCAGAATGTTTCATTTTAATGATGTTATTGTCATTTATAAATGATTCTTTTAAACTATACAAACTTAATCGCTGGTTAGTAAGTTCGTTTATATTTTCATAAACTTTCTTGGGAGGTACACGGGTTGTTGAAACCTTGGGTAATTTTCCTTGTGGCGTTGAAGTTTGAATCTGTTTTTGTATTGACTGATCGTAACTTATAATATTTTCTAAACATAATTCAACAGTTGTACAAAATGTGTTTTAAAATTTGAATAACAATGTTTACCATATGATGAGTGTTGTTGATCATCTACAACTTCATACAATTTAGGAGATTTTGGAGTGAGGTGACTTCCATGGCTAAATTTGAATCATTAGGGCCCAAATAAGAATCTAAAAAAAAAACAAACAATAAAATATTCTCAAATTAAATTTTAAAAACCATAAAAAGAACTTACATTCTACTGGACTACTTTCATCAAAAATGTCAATACATTGATCATCAGTAGAAACTGGAGTATAACTTTTATTTATAATTGCAGATGTACTGGCAAAATCTCCATCACATAATTCCAGCCACTGAGAGAGTGCTACCCGGCGGCGACCAAAACTTGTCCGATCTCACGCATTCCCACCACGAAACCTCCCGTTTTGCTGGCCACCGTCGCGGTTACCGCCGCCGTTGTCGGTGCCGCTAACGTCGCCACCAAAACGTATCACGTGACAGTGGTTGTCATTATACAGCGTGTACTATAGTGTTTACTGTTATACTCACTGGGCCAGTGTTGGCGGCGCCGTGTTGCCAGATTTAGGGATTTTTCCTTTTTCTGGGGATTTCTCCACAGCTCCAGGATAAAGATAGGGAATTTGATTCTTTTAGGGATTTTTAGGGAATTTTGACCATGTGGTAATTTATTAAAATATAATGTATAAAAATTTAACATTTTAGCTAATATCACAGAACAATATAGAATAGACACTCGATCAGCTGTGAGGGTTTACGTATCCCTACGGTATGATGTATTGGACTATAAAAGTTGTACCGTATCCGTAATTTGATAGAACGTTAGCAACGTGTATCCCTCTTTGTTACGGAATTTTTATAAACGATTTTATATGAATTTTCATATTTTAAGTATATCAATATTAAATTTTGGTAAAATGAATAAGGATTTTGTTTTAATATAAATTAAAAACTATAATGTAATTTTACATTGGTTTATTGTTAATGAAATAATATATTGTATTATTATTCTGTGAACTGATAATATTGATATGATTTATTTAAATGATAACATATTCCACGCCCCTTAGAGACTGTGCTCAAGGCCACAGTCACCCGATTTTTCCAATACACAGAGTGTCTATACCCTGCTAATATATAATATTAACTTTTTCTACCAAATCTATATTATCAAAAAACAATAATAATATCATTATTATAATCAATGTTATTGTTTTATGTGAACTTTTGTCGTAATTGAACCGATACGTAATCTAGACTCTAATTCCTTCTATGAAAATATTGTATGTTTTCGTCACGCCGCACAGTGGGGCAATTGACATCGAAAGCTGGCATTAAATCATAGGGTAAAAAAATATATTCCTAAAATTAATATTATTTTTATATTTGTTCATCAGACATATACAAAATCGTTTACATAGTATTAACATAAGGTATAAAGTATATACGGTATTTATTTATTTAATTTATTAACAAAATTAGAAAAATGTATTATTTTAAGTTTTAAGTTTAAAATTGGTCATGGTTATTGTCTTCATTGTCTTCATTGCTGTCATTATCTTCGTCATAATCATCATCATTATCGTTGTCGTCATCATCATCATCATTATCATTGTCGTCATCATCATCATCATCGCTATATTTGGCATATTGAAGAGAGACTCGGACATCTGGTGATTTTAGTAATGCGAGTGCTTCAATTGGCATTGATTGTGTTTTTTTCTTCAGCAATTTTCTTTTATTTGAAATTACTGGATCTGAACTTAATAAAAATAAATTTAATATATCTAAATTAGTTTTTTCACGACAACATTTCCTAGAGTTATGCTCTCGATATCTTTTGAAATCTTTATTTCGCGCTTCTTGGGCTTCTTCAGTCAACTGTCCTATTGTCAACAAAGCCGATTCAATTATCTCTGGTCCATGTATAAAAAACTTGTGCATCGTGGGTGACATATTATACCACGGATACTTCTCAACAAAATATTTTGCAGTTTTATACGTGTATTCTCGAAACTCGTTGATTTTTATTTCGTGTCCACTAGCTATTACTATCATTACTAAATGTATTTTTTCTATTATTTCTACGTCTAATTTTGTGATTTCGGCAGATATTTTTGAATTTTGGAAAAATCGTCTGGCTGTGTTCCCATCATTAGAATTTCCAAATCCTGGTTTGGGTTTATCTACAAGTAATCCTAATTTGTCTTTGAATTCTTTTTGGATTCTTAGCTTATTTTCTGAAACAATTTTTTTTTCCACATCTCCTCTAGCTTGCCATTTCTTAAGTGGTAATTTGTAAGACAAATGGAGGAGACATTCGAAAAAACGAATCCACCCGTGTAAAACTGATATCCCAAAAGATAAATTATTGGAACAAAGTTCCTTATGGGGCGTTAGGTGGATGGGAGTCGCTGGAAAAAAATCGCAACACCAAAAAGCGTAACACCGAAAAGCGTAACACTGAAAAATTGCTCGGCTCGGCTCGGCTCGGCTCGGCTCTGCTCGGCTGCCGGCTTACATATCCCCTCCCTCCTCTCATATTATCGTATGTCCCCACTAGGATCGTACCATCTGGCAACCGGGTTCCATTCGCGTAGGCTACCCAACATCGGTCGTCACGCGCGTAGAGGTGACCGTCGGGCGGAATGGGGGGGGACCCATTAAACGAGTAATTATTTTTGACGAAGCATAACTTAGGCGGTATTCGACTTAGAGACCCCGGACCAATGGGCATCTCAATTTTTTAGGCCCCAGATGAATTTTCAACATTAGGGAACCAAAGCCCCCACCCCCCCCCCACATTTTGAGTTGAGTGTAACTCGGCCGGAATTCAAGTTAAAGACCTCGGACCAAGGGGGAACCCATTCTTATTATGAAGACTACAGTTTTCCGCTTTAGGGAACGGGGGCACCTCCTCCCCCCTTTTGGATTTTGCTTTTTTGATGGATTTTGGTCCAGGAGAGTACTAACACCCACCTCAACAAGGGGAAACTCGGGGTTTTGAGTTTTTGATGGGATTTA